ACTTCGCATGGGCCCCGTGTGAATGATGTGTCGTGTCATCTCACCAGTTGCTTCATCCCATGGGCTGCAGGGGGCAGAGGGGAGGAGCAGCAGCAGCGGCAGCAGGAACAGGAGGCGGAGAAGGATCAAGCAGCCCCAGCGGCAGCAGGGAACAAGGGGGAAGGCGGAGATGGAGGAGCAGCAGGAGGGGGGAGGGGGAGCGCGCGAGGACAAGGAGGAGCTCGCACCCACCAGCTCTCTGTCTGCCCCGTGCCCCGAAGTCCGTCCCCCCGCTTCCTCCCTCTCTCCCTCCACCTCCCTGGCCCCCTCAACCACCGTCCCTCCTTCTCGCCCCCTCCAGCTTCTCTCCCCTCCACCCTCCTCAACGTCCAACGTAGCGAGCAAAAAGACAAAGTCGTGAATAAAAATACGGCTGAAGCTCCCGACACCACCTTTGCACGGGATTTTGCGAGCTAGATCAATCCGTCAGAACCCTGGGGCCCGAAGTGTGCGTCTGTTCGCGACGCCCGGATACCGTGACACTCCAGAAGGGCAGGTTGACGTCGCGAAGACTTCTGCGTTGTCCTGCGAAACCGCTCGAACGGCTCAGCCTTGAACGGTTGATGGGCCTTCCGACAGCGTAGATCGTTAAACATCGGCCGATTTCAGGCAAGTGGCGGTTCACCCTTGCAGGCCCGCGCTGGGGTCGCCGCCGCGTCAACGCGGCGCGACCCCTCATCACAGTCGGCAAACACGATAAGAATATTGGGATAAGAAATCTAAAGGAACGCGTGTCTTCAATATTTGAGGGTCCCAAGGTGCCCCAGAGCTTATGTGGGTCCCTGGGGGCATCGAGGGATAAGAAAATCATGTGGGGCACCTGCTCGCAGGTCGATTTCTTGTTTGGTTTGCCGACTGTGTCCCTCCGTGGCTGCAGAATGGCGTCCTCCTCCAGGGGGACGTCGCTTTCCTGGTCGCCCTCCTGCGCCGCCTGCTCGGCTGCCTCCGTTTCAGGGGGGAGAGGGGTGGAACGAAAGAGGGGGGAGGAAGAGGAGTGGTAGGAGGGGGAGGATGGCCAAGAAGGAGAGGGAGATGGGGGAGGGGAGGTTCCTCCTCGTCTTCCCCATCGTCCTCTCCTTGTCATCAATGTCGTCCTCCGCCTCCTCAACTTCGCCATTGTCTTACCTCATGTTCCCCTGATTCATCAAAACCACCGTCACCGTCATTACGAGCATCATCGTCTTCACCATCGCCAGCCCTGGCATCATCATCGTCGTCGTCCCACTCCTCCTACCACCACGATAATCCCTCCTCCGTATCTTCCCTTCCGACTTTCCCATCCCAATCCCAACCCCCCACCGTCTTATCGTTGTCCTTGTTGTACTCCCCCCCATCCCCGGTGGCACTGGGGTCTTCGGTGGAGCTCCCTATGGGGCCACGAAACGCTTTACTGGGTGGGAGGAAATGCAAAAATTAAGTTTCCGGGACGCACGCGGACGGTCCCACTGGGCGCTTCGGTGGAGCTCCCTATGGAGCCACGAAACGCTTTACCGGGCGGTTGAAAATGCCACATTGGGTTTTCGGGACGCATGCGGACGGTGGCACTGAAGCCTTCGGTGGAGCTCCCTATAGAGCCACGAAACGCTGTACTGGGCGGGTGAAAATACCTCATTGGGTTTTCGGGACGCATGCGGACAGTCCCACTGGGGCCGTCGGTGGGGCTCCCTATGGAGCCACGAAACATTGTACTGGGTGGGTAAAAAGGTCACATTGTGCTTTCGGGACGCATGCGGACGGCGGCACTGGGGCCTTCGGTGGAGTTCCCTATGGGGCCACGAGATGCTGTACTGGGTGAGCGAAAATGCCAAATTAGGTGTGTCGGGACGCATGCGGGCGGTCCCAGTGGTGGTTTCGATGGAGCTTCCTGTGGGGCCACGAAACGCCGTACAGGGTGTGCAGGACGCATGCGGGCGGCAGCACTGGGACCTTCGGTGGGGCTCCCTATGGGGCCACGAAACGCTGTACTGGGTGGGTGAAACGCAAAGGGAAGGGGAGGAGGACCACGACGCTGTGCTGGTGTGCGAGGACGCATAATAGGCCAGTCTCTGGGACCTTCGGTGGGCTCCTTTGCATGCCACGACATATCTTCTGTTGGTTCCAGGGGCTATGAACGCGTCCGCGGGCAGGGAGCAAGGGGATTCAGCATGACGGAGGAAGGGAGGGTACTGGGTTCCCCCGCATGCGGACCCACTCGCCTTTCCCCTCCCTATTCCCGATACCTCATTGGGTTCCGCACTGTCCGAAACACCCTGTACTCCTGTGCTGACGCATGCCCGGCAGCACTCCCCTGGCCCCATTTTTATGAGCCACTACACTTATTTGTCGACGCGGGAAAAGAAAGGCCACGAAACGCTGTACTGGGTGCGCGGGACGCATGCGGACGGCAGCACTGGGACCTTCGGTGGGGCTCCCCATGGGGCCACGGAACGCTGTACTGGGTGGGTGAAACGCAGGGGAAAGAGGGAGGAGGGCCACGAAACGCTGTACTGGGTGTGCGGGACGCATGCGGCCGGCAGCACTGGGACCTTCGGTGGGGCTCCCTTGGGGCCACGGAACGCTGTACTGAGTATGTGAAACGCAGGGAGCAGGGGGAGGAGGGAGGAGGAGGGAGGAGGGGAGGACGAGGAGGAGGGAGGACGCGGGGCGCTGTCTCTTCAAAACGAGGACCCAACACCACAGGATGGTTGGGAAACTACCCTGGCGAAGGACCCAACCATGAAACTCCCTATGGGGCAAAGAAGCGCTGCACTGGGTGGGGGGAACGCTGTACTGAATGGCTGGTGCGCCAAAGTGGGCTTCCGGGACGCATGCGGACGGTCCCACTGTACGTTTCGGTGGAGTTTCCTATGAGGCCACGAATCGCTGTAATGGGGGTGTGAAAATGCCACATTGGGTTTCGGGGACGCATGCGGACGGTGGCACTGGGGCCTTCGGTGGAGCTCCCCATGGGGCCACGAAACGCTTTACTGGGTGGGAGGAAATGCAAAAATTAAGTTTCCAGGACGGACCCCCTGGGCAGCTCCCTAGTGATCGGAAAATGCCTCATTGGGCCGGCGCATGCGGCGGTTGAACCCGGCGCCAGGGCCCGTCGCTGCACGGGGTTGATCCATGTTTGGAACGCTTGCTCCAGTCCCCTCGCCGTCTCGCTCCCTATCGCCACGAAACGCTGTACTGGGTGGGTAAAAAAGCCACATTGTGTTTTCGGGACGCATGCGGACGGCGGCACTGGGGCCTTCGGTGGAATTCCCTATGGAGCCACGAAACACTGTACTGGGTGGGTGAAACGCAAGGAAATGGAGGAAGAGGGCCACGAAACGCTGTACTGGGTGTGCGGGACGCATGCGGCCGGCAGCACTGGGACCTTCTGTGGGGCTCCCTATGAGGCCACGAAACGCTGTACTGGATGGGCGAAACGCAAGCAGCAGGGAGGGCCACGAAACGCTGTACTGGGTGTGCGGGACGCATGCGGCCGGCAGCACTGGGACCTTCGGTGGGGCTCCATATAGGGCCACGAAACACTGCATTGGGTGGCTGCACAACCGCAACACAAGGGGAGAAGGGCCACGAAACGCGGCTTTGCGGGCGCATGCGGCTGGCCACGACAGGTCCTAGGGGCCACGAAACGCCAGGGTGGGTGAAACGCAGGGAGGAGGGGGAGGATGGGGAGAGGAAGACCGCGCGGAAGACGATGACACGCTCGGCGGCCGGCAGCTTCCCAGCGCGAAGGTGGGAGGGGAGGGAGGGGAGGGAGGGAGGAGGGAGGGAGGGAGGGAGGGAGGGATGCAGTACCCAGTCGCTCCGGCGCGCATCGGCGTGCACACACGCGGTACTTCCTCAAGCGTCAAGCAACCAGGACCCACGGAGGCCGAGAGTGAATCCGTTGCAGCTCCCCTCCCCAGACCAGCGAGGCCTGGGGCCCGAAAGGGGCCTCCCGAGCAGGGACCCGACATGGCGAGACCTCTCCAGCATCGTCGCCCCCGAGAATCGGCGAAGACAGTGGCGGCGACCGCAACACACCAGGAGGAGCGCAGAGTGAGGAACGGCGGCGTCTTGCGGGCCACGGCGAGCCTCGCCACGAGCACCGCCGCCTGAGTCAAGAAGCCCAGACCCCTCCTGAACCCACTCTGCTTCAGCGCAAGACTGGAGGGGGAGGATGGGGAGCGGACACAGCAGCACGATGACAAGCTCGGCGGCGCAGTCGTGAAGCGACCGGGCCCGTGCACACACGCGGTACTGAACGTCAAGCTACGTCGAGAGTCTGTTCTGCGAGCGACGGCTTCTCAAAAACCCTAATAAGGACGCGCGGTAAGGACGCAAGACCCTTGCAAGCCGAAACTGGGATTTTTTGGGCGGCGGACGAAAAGGACGCAAGAGCAAGGAAGAGCAAGGATGCAAGGGCATCCTGAGCAAAGTCGCGCGTCCTTATTAGGGTTTTTGACTGTATGAGTGATTGCCCCCTCGACCAAAGGTGGCCCCACATTCCCGCGTCTTGCAAGGGCGCGCGCGGCCGAGCCCCGCGCGTGGTGCAGCAGCACGTGCTCGCGGACGACGCGGGGCAACAGCTCCTCTGGTTCGTGGGAGTGCCGCGACGCGCGACGAAGACGACGACGACGACGAAGGCGACGACGACGACGACGACGACGACGACGACGATGACGACGACGACGACGACGACGACGACGACGACTGCGAGGGCGGAGGGCGAGCGACGAAGCGACTCGGGCGAGCCCGCGGAGCCGCGCCAGGGCCAGGGCACAGGCGGAGGGAGGGAGGAGGGGAGAAGCGAGGAGGCGGCCGCTTGCAATTCCGGGGCCCGGAACCCTAAATAAGGAACGAGGCCCCTTTTTCTCATAAGTTCGTTCGATTCCCCATGGGAAACCTCAGGGAAACCTAAGGCACTGTGAAGCCCGGCAACACCGAGCCCCTCCGGCCCGAGAAGGGTTCCTTCTTAGCGCCCCATGTCATCTCTCCTCCACGCGCTCCGGGATGCCGGCGCTGTCGCCCGTTGGCGCGCAGAGCGCGCCAGGGGCGCCGGACCCGGCGGCCTCGGAGAAGCCGAACCTCGACAAGCATACTCTGGGGTCCCGCTGTCCGATCGCCCCCTCCGCCCTGCGGCAGATGAGCGCGCCGGGGCGCGGCGTCAGGGGCGCCGCCAGGGGTCGCCCCGCCGATCCGTGGTTCGCGCGGACCTCCGGCTTGGCGGGGCGTTCCCCCTGGGCCCCTTGACGTGGCCCGTTTCGATCTCCCCTCAAAAACCCAAGGACCTCGGAGGCCGGTGGTGGAGGGGCCCCAGCCCCTCCCCCGAAAAGGGTTCCCTCTTCGGCCCCACTGCGCTTTCGTCAACCCTCGCCTCCCCGATCCCCAGGCAGCGGCCGATTGCCTGCCCGTGGTCGTGGCTCGGCCCCGCTCCGCCCTGATCGTCCACCTGCACCTTGGGGGCGGTCGTAAAAGGGGGCCAGGCGCACGCCAGGCACTTGTTTGGGATCCCCCTGGATTGAAACATTGTAAAGTTCAAATCTTGTTCAGTGCGCAATGCGACAAAACTGAATATTGAACATGGCCCAACTTTGAATCCGCAACCCCAGTGGGAATTCCAATGTTCATGGTTGAAAGCTATTCAATCCGAAGGTCTGGCTTTAAGGGTTTGGGGTTCCAATGTCCAATCCGACGCCGAAGCCCATTCATTCCAAACTCTGTATTGCTGTTTACCCAGGTCCAGTCACACGTGTGAACAAGCGGCATACATGATTATAAGACGGAAAAAGAAAGGACAAGATCAGTGCGAGGAGAGCGGTCGGCAGGAGACCCATGGGGCGCTGTATAGCAGGGCCCCCACCCAGGCTTTCGCAAGCCTTGAACATGGCGGAACCCCCGCTGTGAGACCCGTGCGGTTCGCGCGGGACGGCAGAAGTGCCAACGCGGTGAGGGCGCGCGAGTGCGGGCTCGTTACGGGGGGTGGTGCGTGTGGAGGAAAGAAACGACAGGGAGGTAGACGAGGGGGAGCAGGAGGGGGAGCCGTCAGGAAGGCTTCAAGTGGCATCTTGTCAGCGTCCCCTTCTCTTGAAGGGGCCCTGAGACACACAAATAGATAAACACAAATAAAAGGACTCCCCATATTTTCATTTTTTTCTGGGTGTTTTGTCTTCCCCCCACTTCCCATATTTTCCCATGTTTTCCAGGGGATCGACGATTAGTTGTGTCTGTGTGTTTTTGTTCCCTCCTGACTTCTTCTCCTTTCTCTCCAGTCGGGCCAACGGGGCCGCGCGGCACGGAGCCACCTAATCAGAAGAAGGGTAGCTGCGTGCACAGGTGGAGGAGGAGGTGGCGGGAGAGCAGGATGAGGAGGAGCGGGAGGAAAAGGACGAGGACGAGCAGCAGCAGCAGCAGGAACTGGAGTGGAGGGAGCGGGAGGAACAGGAGGACCAGTGGAAGGCGGGGGGGGGATGAGGAGAGCGACAACAATGAAGAAAGACTCGGATCCAGAAAAGTGGCCCGCGCTGGGGCGAGATCGTCATTTTGAACGACGGGAGCAAAGCGCCGATCCGAAAACGAGGCCTACGCTGCAGCGGGAACACCATTTTAAAACACCGAAGACAATCGCACTGCAAACAACACATCAAGCATATTATGTCACTCAGAAACCCATGAACCAAAACACGCGGATAGGGCCCAGTATCTTCCGGACGGAGTCATGGGAAGAAATAATGTAGCACTCATATTCTTAAATTGTAAATCAAGACGGGACCGGACAACTGACATGATGGAGAACGCTCCTGGTGGAAACGGGCCCTTCACTCTTGAACTTTCCCGGCGACCAGTTCTTCGATCCGGTTCGTTTTTTTGCGACCCTGTTGGAGGACAGGCTTTACGTAAGGGACCCTGCTGCCAATTCTCGGGAAGCCCTCTGGCGCGCTGCTGTGGGGGAAGAGGGGGAGGGGGGGGGAATGGTCGTTTCGTGACGGTCCTGCTGTCAGTGCCAGGGAAGCCCTCTAGCACGCGGCTGTGGGGAGGGCAGGGGGGTCGCCCCCCGAACAACAACCCTCTGGACGCCGTCACGTCGGGAGTGCTGGATGGGCACCCCCAAAGCCCAGCACCGAAGGGCATCCTGGCAAAGGGCACACTTTCCTATCGTGGAGAGGCGAAGCGAAGCGAACACTAGAGTCGTGCGCACTGCGATTCGGAGAAGTCGCAGATGTCGCATCGTCGAGAGAGGGCGATGATGGGTCAGGGACTTCGGGCCAGGGGCGCCTGCTGCGACTGCTTGTCCCGCTGTGCTCCATGCTGGAAGACCGGAGCTGGGTCAGCGGGCCTTGCGGGGAATGGAGCTGAGGGATGGGCCAGGGCAGGCGCCCGTGTTCGACATGCACGCACGGCGGAGGCGGGGAGGGCGGGGGAGGAGGAGGAGGAGGAGGAGGAGGGGGGGAGGAAGGGAGGAGGAAATGAAGAAGGAGGAAGGAAGGAGGAGGGGCCGGGGGAGGAGGAGGAGGAGGAGGAGGAGGGGAAGAAGGAGGAGAGGAGGTGGAGGAGGGGAGGAGGAGAGTAGTAGTGAGGAGTGTGTGTGTATGTTTACTAAGATCCTCCTCTAGTCCTCTTCCCCTTCCTCCCCCTCAGACAGTGGGGGGTGGGGGGTAGGGGGTCGGGGTCGGAGGATGCCGGAGACTTCGGGTGCCGGGGCCGACAGGAGCGAGGGGGGGCGGCCGGGCGCCGAGACGAGTCCCCGCCAGCAGGCGGTGGATCGAGGAGGAAGCTGCCAGACTCCACCGCGGCCTCCCGACGACCAACAAGGAGTGCGGCACAGCAATCGGCGGTGGACGAACCTCCCTTTAGGAAACCATCCTTCAATGAAAACGGCCTAAGACCGAAACCGACGGACCTGAACCAGCAAAAATGACGGCCGCGACGCCCTCCCGCGAACCGCAAACGGCAAATTCGCTAATCGACGTGTCAGGGTTGGAGGTCTATCTACCTCCGAAACAGATCTGGAAGCGACTCTCCAGGCACCTCGCAGTGTACAGCTCGGGCTGCCTGGCAACGCGGCTATCCCGATCCAGCACAGGGCGGCAAGTAAGCTTAGGAAGCCGCCCGCGAGTCCCCTGGACAGGGATGCTGGTCTGCCGGTCAGCAAGAATCTCGAGCTCAGCTTTGTTGGCCCACATGTGCACAAAGAGTTGAGATGCTTGTACAAGCGCTTTCTGGCAGGCTGGCGACGGACAAACCCCCATCTAAAATAGGCACACTCCAGCTCAACATCCCAGCGCGGCGGCTTAGGACCAGGACCTGTCGCTGGCAGCCGCTGACTCGATAAGGACGGGAGGAGGGTTATGAAGGGGCCCCAGGACACACAAATAAATACGCACAAATAAACATATTCCCCACATTTCCCCATATTTTCTGGGTTCTGGGTTTATTGTTTTCCCGCCCAATTCCAATATGTTTCCATATTTTCATTGCGATTGCGAACCGACGATTAATTGTGTCTGTGTGTTGTTTCCCCTCCTGAGGTTAACACATCCCTGCGGGAGGAGAAACACCCGACCAGACTCGCGGGGCCTCGTGGCCGCCTGCAGGCAGAGCTCCGACTTCACAGCTGGGGACAACAGACGGGGAAACAGTCCACTGGCCATCGCTCGGATGTCCATTCCCTGTGCTTTTTTCGATTTCGTGCGTGGTTTTTTTCGCAAAATGATCAAGGATGCTCCCCGATGGTCCTCGCCGAAGGGAAAATGCACACGTCCGAGCGATGGTCCAGCTTCCTCAGAGGTGCCCGCGCGCGTGACCCTGCGCGCACGAGGCTCGCCCCGAGTACCGAGACCATGTCACAAGCGCTGAGCTCTTCGGGCTGCATCTGAAAATCAGCGCCAAAAACGAAAGAGCGGCGCCCAACTTGAACGAACACAGGTGAAACTAGAGCAATCTTGCAGAGCAAAACAGGGGAGGAGGGAGTAGGAGGATGCACGGAGGAAGAAATAATGAGGAGAGATTTGAGGAGACTAGCAACAACACTGCAGCAACAGCATTCCGTTTCAACCAAAAATACTCCGAAACCACGCCTGGCGCGCTACCCATTATCCAGGCTAAGCAAACTCCCTGTGACGCCAAACTGTAGGGTTTTGGGCCCGTCGGAATGCAGGAGTCGCTGTTATGCCGACCCATATCAGGCTAGCAAACTATCATGTAGGGTTTTGCCAGGAATGCATGCTGTGGGACGGGTGTCATAGTGGACCTGAACCCCCCAACATGGTGGTCGAGTTGTGCGCAACCAGAAAAGAAAAGAGAGTCGCTGGAAATCAAATCTGTGTGGTGTGTGCGAGATGAACACGAGAACGATCAGGAAGAAGAGGGATGGGGTGAGGGGTGGGTGGGATCAAGCTAGCCAGCTCGAACGAGTCAAGCATCGCATGCCCATTCCCACCCGCCCTCCCACAACATAAGAAACAGTGATGGCACAACTGGGGGCTGCGCGGGCGTTTCAATGCGAGTGGAGGATACCCCAAGACACCGCATTGACGTCCGCGCGGGATGTGCGCCGCGTCTCATTCCCGTCACGCATTTCGCATCGTCGACGACAAGACTGGCCATGTTGAAAGGAACAACGGACACGTTCCGCCCTCCCACAACATAAGAAACAATGCTGGCGCAACTGGGTGCTGGCGCGTAGTGGTAGTAGGAGTAGTAGTAGTAGTAGTAGTAGTCGTAGTAGTAGTAGTAGTAGTAGTAGTAGTAGTAGTAGTAGTAGTAGTAGTAGTAGTAGTAGTATCTAGTAGTAGTAGTAGTAGCAGTAGTAGTAGTAATAGTAGTAGTAGTCGTAGTAGTAGTAGTAGTAGTAGTAGTAGCAGTAGCAGTTAGCAGTAGCAGTAGCAGCAGCAGCAGCAGGCAGCAGTATAGTAGTGTAGTCGCAGTAGCAGTAGTAGTAGTAGTAGTAGTAGTAGGAGGGAGGAGGAGGAGGAGGAGGAGGAGTAGAATAGTAGCTTAATTAGTATTAGTTATTAGGATTAAGTAGTAGTAAGTAGTAGTAGTAGTAGGTATAGTAGTAGTAGTGGTATTAGTAGTGGTAGTAGTAGGTAAAAATAGTAGTAGTAGTAGTAGTAGTAGTAGTAGTAGTAGTAGTAGTAGTAGTAGTAGTAGTAGTAGTAGTAGTAGTAGTAGTAGTAGTAGTAGTAGTAGTAGTAGTAGTAGTAGTAGTAGTAGTAAGTAGTAGTAGTAGTAGTAGTAGTAGTAGTAGTAGTAGTAGCCCTGAGTCGCCGAAAGATCGTTCCAAGACGCCCAAGATGGCCTCCAGACGGCCATAGCGCCAAGAAACCGGGGGGAACCTCAAGAGGCCCTCCAAGAGCCTGAACAAGCAAAAACCTCACAGGCATTCGTCACCCCAGGGCCTCCTGGAACGCCCCGGCGCCCAAAGAATTGGCGAGTTAAAAACGTGCGCCGAGCCAAAGCGAGAGCGCAACTTTGAGAAAATTTCGCTCGGCGCCCAAGCGAGAAGGTCATTTCATTCACTTCGAGCGGGGGGGGAGGGGGGTGTGCCGCGCCCAATTCTTGCCATGCACTTTTGCGGGGTGGACGACAAGAACAGCTATGTGGGCAGTGAAAATCAGCATGGCATTGTTTCTGACAAGTAAGGTGGCCCCTCCCGCCTTGGGGTTGCCCCAGAAGTCCGCGCGCGATGTGCGTCGCGCCCCATTCCTGCCACGCATTTCGCATCGTCGACGACAAGACAGGCCATGATGAAAGGAAAAACGGCAATTCTGTATTGTTTTTTACAGTCAGGATGGGAGGGCCCGCAGCCCGCATGGACGTCCGAGCGCGATGTGCGCCGCGTCCCATTCCTGCCACATATTTCGCACTGTCGGCGACAAGGCAAGCCATGGTGAGAGGAAAAAACGGAGACTTTGTATTGATTTTTTACGGTCAGGATGGGCGGGCTGGGATTGACGGCCGCGCGCGATGTGCGCCGCGTCCCATATGTGCGCCGCGTCCCATTGCTGCCACATATTTCGCACCGTCGGCGACAAGGCAGGCCATGCTGAGAGGAAAAAACGAAGACTTTGTATTGACTTTTTACAGTCAGGATGGGCGGGCCCAGATTGACTGCCGCGCGCGATGTGCGCCGCGTCCCATTCCTGCCACGCTTTTCGCATCGTCGACGACAAGAAAGACGATGTTGAGAAGAAGAGCGGCCACTTTGTATTGATTTTTTATAGTCCGGATGGGAGGTCCCGGATTGGGTTGCTATCGGCCGGAATACGCGGTAGGTGGGGGTATATAATAATAAGGAACAAGGATGAGGGTGAGGATGAGCATGAGGAAGGAGGAGGAGGAGGAGGAGGAGGAGGAGGAGGAGGAGGAGAAAGAGCAGCAGTAACAGAAGGAGCGCGAGAAGCGGGAGGACCAGGGGAATGCGGGGAAGGGAAGGGAGGGGGAGAACAACGACGAGGAATGACTCGGATCCGAAGCGTGGCTCGCGCTGTGCCGAGAGCACGACGGCAGCACCGCGCCGGTCTTGAAATGAGGCCAACGCTGCAGCGGCAGCACAGTTTGAAACATTAAAACTCCGAACAAGCAAACACACACATGAAAACAACAGTGTGAAATCCGTTGAGTAAAACAAACAAGCTACGCACACATCTTGGCCTGCTTGTGCACGCCCTCCCCAGGATTCAGTGCTCCACGATGCCGAGAATAACCCACAGGGGGATGATGATCCTGGCCATGCAGACGAGCCTCATACCGATATTTGGGTAGATATGCTGGTTACAACTACTGCTGCGGACACTCGGATGAATCTCCTGTGGAAGACGACGCACTGGCCGAAGCCCCGAGAAACAGCGGAGGAACTGCGAGCGCCCCCGCAACATGAGCAAGCTTCTACGCGAAACCATTCCTGGGGATCCAGAGGCAGACCCGCGTAAGCTCTGCTCGACCTGGGACGGCATGTCATCATCTTGAACAGAAGACCATTCCTCCGTGGCCGAGCGGCTCGCTGGGAACATCCCTGATGGGCCTGTTTTCCACCACCACCATCATAAGTTGGAGGGGGGAAGGAGGAGGAGCTGGTGCAGGAGGACGAAGAGGAGGAGGAGGAGGATAAAGAGGAGGAGGAGGAAGAGGAGGAGGAGAACCCCCACCCCCGCCAACTTATGGTGGTGGTGGTGGAAAAGAAGCCCATCAATCCCCGTCGAACCCGTCGCGCAGCAGGCATGACCAGCTGAAACAAGGAGGGTGGACGAGCCTATCTGGCTACTGAGGTGTAGAGGAGGAGGAAGAGGAGGAGGAGGAGGGGGAGGAGGAGCGGGAGGAGGAGGAGGAGGAGGAGGAGGACGACGACAAGGAGGAAGCGGGGTGAAGGGAAGAGGTGCACGGGGAGGGAAGAACGCAGGCCTGGCAGCTGGAGGATCCGCGGCGACGCCGACACCAGACCGGCGGAAACGCCCGATGTTCCACGAAGTCTCCAGCTCTCGGTTTCTTCTTTTTACCTTTACGGCTTCACCACATCAACCAAACAATTTTTTTCGCGGGTCGAGAGCGCACCTCTTCCGGTCGAAGCTAAGCGGGCCGCGCGAAGCTTGAATTCACAAAGAGGGGGGACAATTCACATCAGCCAAACAGGCGACTACTTACAGCATCTGTGGGAAATGCTGTAAGCAACATGCACCGAGCAGCAGGTGCAACAAATTGGGCGACCTCGCCTCGGCGAGCGCTCGGAGATCTTTTTGGAGCCCCGAAACGGTGCAGTGACAGACCGCGCGGTGACCTCGAAGTCCCCCAAGACCTCACCGCACAGTCCGTCGCCGCACGGTCCGTGGGACCCTGGAGGCCCCTGTCGCCCGAGGCGTCCTCGGAGAGGGGCCCGAAACCCAAAACCGTGCGGTTACCCCGGATCCCCACCGACTCACCACACGGTATGGTCACCACCCTGTTTGGGGACACCCGAATAATGTGACCCGGGTCAATTCAGACCCGGGTCAGTCAGGCCTTGCAGAATCCTGCAAGATCCTGCACCCAAGCCCATGTCAATACGAAAAATCCTGCAAACTCCTGCAGAATCCTGCACCCAAGCCCGGGTCAATGCGACCCTGTCCCTGCAGGATCCTGCAAAATTTGGCAATCTGGCTGACCCCCGTTTGCAATGACCCCCGTCTCAAGGCTCCCGACGGCCGCCAGGTCCCGGGCAACCAGCCAGAGGTCCCAAGAGGCCACCAGGGATTCCCAGAGGACATCCTGACAAAAATCAAAGCACCCAAACGCCTCTCCTCCTTCCTCGTTCCTTCTCCTCCTTCCCCCGAACGGATTCTCGATTCCCCCCTTCCTCCTCTACTCCTGTAGAAACCTCCACCATGGGGTCCAGATCGTTTGGTTGGAGGATCGCGCGGCATCGCCGGTACATCGCCGATGCAGCAATCCTCCGACCCGAGTTACTCTGGTCCCATTTCGGGGAGCATAGGCCCTAATCGACCCCCGCCCGTCCTCCCAGGATCGGCGACTCCGCAGGGTGAGGTTTGTAAGGGGTGTGGTTTGCAACCGGCGCCCTGGGGGGCACCCTGCGGGGCGGGCGGGGACCTCGATAGAGTTCTCCGCCGCGCCCGGAGGAGGCCCGACAAGGACAGTGTCGCGGCCCCTAACGGTGCCGATCGCAAACCACACCCCGGCGTAACCATACCCTTTGTAGTCGCCGAGCATAGGCCCCGCCCTTCCTCCCATGATGGGCCTGTTTTCCACCACCACCACCGTAAGTTGGAGGGGGGAAGGAGGAGGATGACGAGGAGGGAGGAGGATGACGAGGAGGAGGAGGAGGAGGAGGAGGAGGAGGGGGAGGAAGAGGAGGAGGAGGAGGAGGAACCCCTCCCCCTCCAACTTATGGTGGTGGTGGTGGAAAACAAGCCCTTCCTCCCAAGACCCGCGCCTGTGGCTTTCGCCGAGCTCGGCGCCTCCCGCGGCCTCGCCGGGCCGGCCGCCAGTTTCTTGGCCTCCTCGCGGGAACCGCAGCGGGAGGCAGTCATGAGCATCGTCCAACCGATCCCTGTCCCCAGCGGCGTGGCCTCGGCTCCATTGGCCGATTTGCCCCCTGTAGAAGGGGATATGGGCCGCTCCCTCCGGGCTTCGAGGGGTGCATCCCCAACGGGAGGGGGTAATTTGGTGGGGGTCTCGAAGGGGATGGGGATGGGGATGGGGATGCAGAATAAGAAAAATACATAAACATAAACTTTTGGCGCTCCGCGCGAATTTCTTGGATCCGCGTCGGACCCCCCTCCCTGGCGCGCGGAGCACGCCAGGGGGCCCAGCGCGGATCCGAGAATCCGCGCGAACGCCAAACAATTATGTTTATGTGGTTTCTCCGTCTTCGAGGTTAAGCGATACGAAAGTGAGGGCACCGAGATCTGGCAGCGCGGACGCCGAAGAGAGTTGGGATGGAACTCGGGCCAGCGGCGCCCCCAGTCCCTCGGACCGGGGCGACGCAACCGAAATCGTGACGGCCGGTATTATTCGCCATCTTCGCCCTCCGGAGGCCGATCTTGCTGACCACCTACCACACCACACCAACCCAACCCGAAGACCAGAATTTGAGCCGAATTTCGGGTTTGGGGGGCACGGGTTCCATGTGTTCTTTCAGTCTTCCCCGACCCCCCCCCCACTGGAAATGGATGGCAAATTGACGCCTTCGGGTTGGGTTGGTGTGATTTGGTGGATGGAGACTTGCACCCTACTCCCTGCGTGACGCGGCGCATGCTTGAACAGCAATGGCGGCTAACCTCAGGACGTAGCCGGCATCTACGCCAAAGAAAAAAAGGGCGTTCATCTTCGCAAGACCCTGCCGGTTCTGCCCAGCAGGACAGCGTCGCGATCACCACCATCCTCCCTCTTCCTCCGTGCAGACACAGGCTATGGATCTAGACGGAGGCTACAAATGAACGGATGCAGAGAAGCAGCAATAAGCAAAGCCAGAAAGAGGCAACAAGCACCCCCCAACGCACACCCACACATCCACACGCAAACACACACACACACCACACCCACACTCACACGCACACTCACCACCCCACACACCTCTCCTCCTGTCCTCATCCTCCTTCTTTTCCTCCTCCTCTTCTTCCTCCACCTCATGCTCCCCCCTCCTCCTGTCATCTCCTGTCTATCCTCCTCCTGTCAATCCTCCTCATCATTATCATGTTCCCAACTTCCTCCATCCTCCATCACCCTCTCCACCACGTTTCCAACCTCATCGGTCTCCGACATCATGTTCGTTCTCACCCCCCCCGCACACCAACAATAATAGACGAAATAATAATCATCATCAGCATCATCATCATCATCATCATCATCATGATCGTCGTCATATTCATCATCATCAGCACCATCATCACCATCACCATCAACATCATCATCATCATCATGATCATCAGCATCATCGTCATCATCACCATCACCATCACCATCACCAGCATCATCATCATCATCATCATCAAAATCATCATCATCACAATCATCAACATCAGCAGCATCATCAACATAATCATCACAAGTCATCATCATCACAATCAGTTCGTCATCATCATCATCATCATGATCGTCATCACCACCGCAATCACAACCACCATCACCATCAACAACAACAGCATCACCATTATCCTGCCGTCACCACAACGATCATCATCAAAATCGACGTAGTCACCGTTACGATCACCACTAGTATAAACACACTCATCAGCATCACCATCAGCATCATCATACACGCAAACAGCATCGTCATCATCATCATCATCAGCAGCAACATCATCATCATCATTGTCGTCGCCGCCATCCTCATACTGGTCACCTTTATCATCATCACCACTGTCGGAAATACAAGCATGACCATAGTACGAGTATTGGCCGTTATCTGCACCATCGCCAACATCAGCACCACATCTTCTGACCTCCTCTCATCATCCCTCTCCTCCTCATCCTCCCCCTCCTCATCCTCCTCTTGCCCCTTCAACCTCCTCCTCATCATACCCCTCCCGCTCCATCATCACCTCACTCTTCCATCCTCATTATCCTCTTCCTCCTCCTCCTCCGCCCCGCCCTGCTCCTCTTCCCTCCTCCTGGCGGGCGAGGGCCCACCTTCGCCTCCAACACCCCCTGATCAGCAGGGGCACCGCGACGGCACACGGGGCGACCTCTTCCCTCCTCTGATGCCGCCCTCCTGCTCCACCCCCCGCCCCACCAACCCACCCCCAACGCCGAGGCGGCGCGGGTCCTTCGCTTCCGTGCCAGCCCGACCGCCAGCCTTCGCCCTGCGCGTCGCCGCGCGCCCGCTGCGGCCTCTCCGAGGCGGCGGCGCCGCCTCGGCACGGCCACGGCCGCCTCCCTCCGCCATCCCTGCCCCGCCCAGCTGGTCCCTCGACCCATCATGGCCCGTCTTTCTCCCTCAGCACATCCGAAACACTTGGCCTTTCCCATCCTCCTCCTCCTCCTCCTCCTCCTCCTCCTCCTCCTCCTCCTCCTCCTCCTTCTCATTCTCACCCTTATACTGCTAATCCTCCGCCTCCTCCTCCATTTCCACCTCCACCTCCTCCTCCTCCTCCTCCTCATCATCATCATCACCACCAACACCACCACCCCCACCACCACCACCATCATCATCATCATCATCATCATCATCATCATCATCATCATCATCATCATCATCATCATCATCATCATCATCATCATCATCTTCCTCCTCCTCCTCCTCCTGCTCCGCCTCCTCTTTTTCCTCCTCCTGTTCTTTTCTTTCTCGTCCCCCTCCTCCTCCTCTTCCTCCTCCTCCCCCTCGTTTCCCTCATCATCCTATTCCGCATCCCCCTCCATGTCCTGACAATCAACAGCATCACCGCCATACGATCAATCACACGGGTAATAGTAGCACTAAGAATACGGATAATACGAAGAAGGGAAATAATACTGATACGTGAAGTGGTTATACGAACCAGAAGAACAACAACGCTCATATGTAGAGAACTAGCAATACCAACCATACGAATGCAAAACATAATTGGTATACGAATGCAAACCTTCAGCATGATAGTAGTAGCGGAAATGCTAGCACTAAGAACGGTACTCGTATTACCAACAATAATAAGAACCCCACTTGTATGATCTTGCGTGAAAGCCTATCTAAATCGCCCTTGTTCTTTCCTCTTCTCCCTGGTCGAAAACACCCGTTTGGCCCCTGCTGCGCCTCCTCCTCGTCCTCCTTGCCTTTCTCGTCCTCCGTCGCCTCCTCCTGCTCGTCCTCCTTGTTATGTGTTTCCTCTTCCGGTTCGTCCTGTTCCTCCCCCTCTTCCTCCACCTCCTCTTCTTTTCGCCCCCCTCTTATCTCCAGCCCGCCTGCTCTCCTCATGCACCTTTCTTTCCTCCTGACAAGGGGGTCGCATGCCGATGTTCCTCGGCGCCCTCGCCGCCGCGCCCGGCAAGGGCGCGTTTTCCGATGGCAAAATCGCGAAGCCGTCGGAACAACAGCCGTTGGGACAACCCCGCGAGCCGCTGGGGCGCGAGAGCAGCCGTTGGGACAACCCCGCAGGCACCGAATTAATCGCGGCCGCGCTCAGGCGGGAGGCAGCCCGAAGTTCAGCTCTGAGTCCGCCCAGGAGTCCATATTCAGTCCAGAGGAGCCGAAACGTGACGACAGCTACAAGGTCCCAATGACCCGCTCGGATTGCCAACATGAAGTGCAGACCACATAGGGAGGGGCTCCAGCCTGAGACATCCTCGCTGCCTGAGAAGACTTCCTCCATATTCAGCCCAGAGAAGCAGCAAACTGACGTCAGTTACAGGACCCCGATGGCCCGCACGGATTGCCAACATGAAATGCAGATCCCATAGGGAGGGGGCTCCCGACTGAGACTTCCTCGCAGTTCACTCGCAGACGAAGCTCCCGCCTGAGACTTCCTCCATTTTCAGTCCAGAAGAGCCGAACAATGACGACACTTACAGGTTTACGATGGCCCGCTCGGATTGACAACACGGGGCGACGGCGTGGCCTGCAGTGATCTCGACAATGCTTGGGCTGAGGACCTCCGTCCCCGTGCGGTGGGGGCCGCCCGCACGAGAGAGCTCGCGGCTGAGGTTGGGGAGCTGGCGGTCGGCGGCGCGTCGAGTGCACCATCACCATCACCAACACAACCAACACCATCAACGTCACCGTCACCATCCCCATCATCACTATCACAATCACCATCACCATTCTCAGCATCATCACCACCATCATCATCAACAACATCAGCAGCGTCACAATCAGCACCAACAAGACCATCATCAACAGCATCACAGTCCTCATCATCGTTATCATCATCAGCATCAGCATCAGCATCAGCATCAGCACCACCGTCAACGTTATTGTCACCACTGTCACTACCATCATCATCACCACCATCATCATCATCATCATCATCATCAGCATCATCATCATCATCATCATCATCATCATCATCATCATCATCATCATCATCATCATCATCATCATCATCATCATCATTACCGCAATCATCACCACTACCATCACCATCAGCATCGCCATCAGCATCACTATAACCATCGCATCATCATCATCATCATCATCAGCAGCAGCAACAGTAACAACAGCAACAGCAACACCACCACCATCACCAACAACAGCAACAACCATAGCAGCAGCAACGGCAGCAACACCAACAGCAATAGCAGCAGCAACAACAAACACAGAGTCATCAACATCAATATCATCATCTTCATCCTCATCACAAACATGATTGCCCCATTTCCGCTCCTCCTCCCCACTTTCGCTCAAATGTTCCTCTCCTTCCTCCTTCTCACCCTCCTCCTGATTCAACCGCAACCCTGTCACGCCGACTCCGCCGCCGCCGCTGCCGCCGACGACGACGGGGAGGGAGAGGAGGGCAAGGGCGGCGAGAAGGAGGAGCGAGAGATGAGCAGGACGTGGCGGAATAGGAGGGCGTGCACGAGGACGAAGAGTTCTGGCAGCGAGGGAGGGGGCCCACCGCGCTCGCCGCGGCGGCGGGCGCCGCAGGGGAGGGCGCCGACAGCGCCTGGGGCGCGCTGCGCGGCTCGGCGCACGCGCTTGAGGAGGAGGACGAGGAGGAGGAGGAGGAGGAGGAGGAGGAGGAGGAGGAGGAGGAGGAGGAGGAGGAGGAGGGGGAGGGGGGGGGGAGGGGGGAAGGGAAGGAGGAGGAAGAGGAGGAGGAGGAGGAGGAGGAGGAGGGGGAGGAGGGGGAGGGGGAGGGGGGGAGGAGGATGAGGAGGGAGAGGGGAGGGGAGGAGGAGGAGGAGGAGGAGGAGGAGGGGGAAGAGGGGGAGGGGGAGGAGGGGGATGAGGATGAGGAGGGAGGAGGAGGAGGAGGAGGAGAGAGAGAGAAAGCGGGCGAGGTCATCGCTCAAGTATTGGCTCGAGGAGAAGGGGCAGTACAATTCCTTCAAGAGCGTGACGACCGCCGAGAAGAAGGAGTTCTTGGAGGCGCACTGGGCCACCAAACTGAAGGAGAGGGCAGGGAAGTACGCGAGGACCAGCACGAAGGAGCACACCTTCGCCGACAAGGAGGCGCACCTGTTCCAATGGATGGGGAAATTCCAGATGCAGCAGGTGCTAGGAGAGCAAAAAGCTCAGAGTAAAATCGACAGCGACAAGCTGATTACGAGGCCCGACCCCGACACGGGCAAGGAGGACGAGTGGTCGATCGAGTACAAAGTGTACCAGGACGGCGGAGGCAACGAGGAGCAGCGCATGAGAGGCGAGAAGCTTGAAAACAGCAAGGGCGACCTGGACGAGACTGCAGCGAAGGAGGCTGACGACTTCATGCAGGAGATGTCCTCACACATGGGTTCTGGCTCGGGCTCTGCATCGTCTGGGGAGCCGCTCGTCAACGTGAAGATCGAGAAGACAGGCGGCGATGCGCCCGCCGAGCCGCCGAACCCCCACAAAGCCACTTTCGATAAAATCAAGGCGAACATCAAGTCCGAGATCCGTGTTCAGGGAGATCGCTTGATGAAGCTCAAGGAGATCTTCGAGAAGACCAAGACGGGCAAGTACGTGCAGTCCCTCAACGACGACGTGAGCAAAATGATCCCGAAGATGTCCAAAGCCATCAAGACCATGGAGAGGGTGTTCTTGCAGAAGGGCGATGACGACATCGACGACGCAATGATCCTGGCAATCGCGAAGCAGGTGGATGAGGCTAGCTTGAACTACGATGCCGTCATCGATTGGGCCAGGCGCCTCATCACCGACAAGAAGAGGAAGAAGTGAACTCGATTGCCTTACCCTGTAAGCCTTCCATCGAGGCAACGCGACTAGCTTTTGCTAGACACAGGGTAGCGCTACGCAGTAGCGCGATGCAAAACATACAACATCCAGACCCTCCCAAACCGCCCGAAGAGAACTCCAAGAGCGCCCCTGGAGGCCCCCAAGAGACCCCTGAAAGAGCCCCAAGAGAGGCTGGTGGGGATCCGCGAAGCGTGAACAATACAAAGCACACAACGCAACACACACACACACAACAGACACAACACACACAACACACAACACACATAAAAAGAACACACACGACACACACACACCGCAACTACGAACAAGTACAATGGCCATCCAGCAACGTCGACGATGAGGATACCACGCACGAGCAAGACGAAACCCTAGGATCAAACCGCGCAACGGTTGCCTTAAATCATTTCGTTTCGGGAACCTGGATGTCTTCAAATAAACTGCGGTTTGAGAAAGGGCCCTTGGTGGCCCGAATTCGGGCGGCGAGCCGGCGTCAAACATCTCACTGGTATGTTTGAGGCCCCGTCGAGCTCAGATTCAGAGGGCCCTAGCCATTGAGAAATAGCATCCGATCGTGGTCGGCTGCCGTTCCACCGCTCCCGAGGCCACCCCAAGGTTCCAACAAAAACTGGCGGTTATGTTGTACCCTGCGCTCCTGCTAACTTTTTCGGGCAACCCACGCGGGAACGATTGCCATGTCATGAGCAGAAGGACCCAACTCAGCATCATTCATAACCCCTCCCCCTCCCCAAAAAAACGAAATACAAGAAGGAATGATAATCACTCGGTCCTCGTTCATTCTTCGTGGACTCCTGCGCCATACGATTCCCCATCCTCCAATTCGATACCATCTCCCCCACGTCCGCAGCCGTTTAGGCAGTACGTGGATTCGGCACGTTTCCATACATATCTTTATGATCGTACCTGTTGCGATTGTTTCATGTTGCTTCGCATTCAGTGCCATCAATGATGGGGTTACAATCTCAATGTCGGAGGGCCGTAAAGGGAGCTTGAAGCGTCGAGTCTGTGACACTCCTTCATCCAGAGGTTTGCAAGCGATCGCTTCTGATGAACAGCGTTCTGGGAGCCTTCGCAAACGAGTCCGTGCTGAGAGTTCCAATCGCGCAGTCTTCCTCAAGCCTCCCGTTTAACAAATGCATGCGAAGAGATTGGGCCAAGGGTGAGCTTCCGTCTAATCGTCTGCTTGAATACTGCCAAGCAGCTTCAAATCAAGGTGCGACGAACGTGATCAGAGTCTCAGAGAAATGGAACTCCAAGACAGCCCATCGTGCTGTGATTTCAGCTCTGGGCTGGCCTGAGCATGCACCAGACATCACGTGGATTGATATTCCGATCGGCCCAGAAGGGAAGCTCAAGAGCCATCCAGTCATTTGTCCTGTGCAAACGTTTCAACGCCTCGTTCATCATCGCAAGCCTTTCTGGGAAAAGCACTTTGGATGTAATGGTACTGCCTGTATGGAGTTTTGGAAATCGTTGGATGGTCACCCGATCGCTGACAGACACCCCGCCTTGAGAGCAGCGGACATGCCAAAAACAATTCCTGTAGGGATGCACGCAGATGGGGCGCCAATAACAAAACACGATGGGTTGTTCACTCTTTCGTGGAATTCTCTATCGCCTTCTGGGGGTACGACACTGGAGACCAGGCTGGTATGCACTTGCATCAAGAAATCAGACATTGGCCCAGGCACGGTCGATGCCATATTCTCGTATTTTGCTTGGGCAATGAATGTGCTTTCGAGTGGCGTTACCTCAACGCATGATTGGAAACATCGTCGCTTGGATGGTGGAGGTCAGTATCTCGTTCCAGGAGGCTGGAGGGCAAGCCTAATTCAATGCCAAGGCGACTGGGAGTTCTATGCGAACTACTTGGGCTTGCCACGCTGGGATACTGACAATTGTTGCTGGCTCTGTAAGGCGAGCTTGAGCGATGAACGGCTTCTTTGGACAGACACATCGCCAGACGCCCCATTCAGAAGAACATTGAGGTCGCATGAGAGCTTTCTGGCAGAACTCTCGGATGCAGGGAAACAACCTTCGCCGTTGTTCAATATCGTTGGCATTCGGCTCGAAGGGATCATGATATGTACATTGCACACCGTGGAGCTGGGGGTTGCAAGCCACATCATCGCGAACAACATGGTCGATGCCATGAAGACGGGCTGCTACGGACCCAATCAAAAAATACAGGCAGAACGCATGGCACGCGAGCTCAAAGATTGGTATCGCGAGCAGCCCAAAGAGATCAAATCTTCTAAGATCCAAGGTGAACTGACATACGAGCTTATCAAAACATCATCGCATTGGCCGAAGCTGAAGGCCAAAGCAGCCACGACTCGGCATATGAGCAGGTTCGGGCTTCATCTTGCCAGAAAGCACAATTCTGGAAGCCTCCATGATAGGAGACGGTTGCTGGTTGCTGAGATGTTAGCGCAATTCTACGACATAGTTGAGAAGGGACCCGATGTGTTGACGCCAGAACACTTGGAACGTTTGACTCGTTGCTCGGATCTCTTGCTTTCTACATACATCGCCCTCAGCAGGGAGAGCCTGGACAAGAATGAGAAAATGTGGAAACTAACACCGAAATTCCACTTGTTCTGGCATCTCGGGCACACCCAGTCGGCGTTCAGAAACCCTAGAACGTTTTGGACATATGCGGACGAGGACCTCCAACGACAGGTTGCCGACATCTCGAGGATGTGTCATATGAGCAACATGGCGCCAATGATTCTTTATAAATGGGTCGTTCTGTTGTGGGACGTTGTTGCGATGCAGGAATAGCTGCGCAAGGAATGTTGACCTTGTGGCATCAGCATCAACATCAATCCCATCCCGTCCCATGGCTGCCGCCTTCCCCGCTCTGTCCTTGCTTTTCTCGCTTTCCTCCCTCTCCTGGTCGTCGAAGTCCTCCTCCTCATTGTCCTGATCCTCGTTCTCGTCTTCTTCCCCCTCCCTCCTCCTCCTCCTCCTCCTCCTCCTCCTCCTCTCCTCCTCCTCCTCCTCCTCCGCCTCCTCCTCCTTTTTCTGAGTCTTGTAAGAGTGGTCTATGTGTGACCGTACTAGAATTGGGATCCTATAGGCCATTCGATGGGCAATCTCGGGACATTCCGAGCGGGACTTAGGCCTTGGGACCCTACATAGCGATGTTCCTCAAAATGGGCCACTGTAGGGACGGGTTTGGCATCGGGGTGTCTACCAACAGATGTTGAAACATTATTTCGGGTACGATGGGATAAGACCAGCGTAGGCTAACAGAACGCCAGGCGTAGTGGTATACCTTCACGTTCGAGCCACACGGCAAGGAGGAGGGAGGAGGGAGGAAGGAGGAGGAGGGAGGAAGAAAGGAAAAGGATGAGAAGCTTGGGGAACACCAACGATTCGAATGCAGACGACACCCTGCACAGCGCTACTGGCACGAATCACGCCCTTGTTCCCATTTTTGATAGTGGGAGATGTAACGTGTGCTACTTTTTCATATGGTACCAAAAATGTGTGTCATGTGGGTGGTCGGGGTCGTGGTTCCGGTTCCGGTTCCGGTTCCGGTTTCCTTCTTTTTCTCGGTGCCCAGGGGCGCCTCCGGTCATGGTTCTGGTTCCGGTTCCGGTTCCAGTTTCCTTCTTCTTCCCCGCCCCGAAGAAGGCCTCCTAGGTCACGGTTCTGGTTCCGGTTCCGGTTCCGGTTCCGGTTTCGGTTTCTTTTTTCTTCTTTGGTTCGAGGGGCTCCCGAGGTCCTGGTTTTGGTTCCGGCTCTGGTTTTGGTTCTGGTTTGCGTTTGCCTTCTTCCGGCGCTCTTCTGTTCTGGTTTTGGTTTCGGTTCCGGTTTCCTTCTTCTTTCCCCTCCCGAAGAAGGGCGCCGAAACCACCACCAAAACCACACTCCATCCTCATGACCATCACTATCACCATCACAAACACCACCAGCAATTTCATCATCATCATGATCCTCATAACCATCATCACCACTATCACCATCACCATCAGCATCATCACAGTCCGCATCAGCAGCATCACCATCATCGTCATCACCAACACCACCACCACCATCATCACTATCGTCATCATCAGTAACATCACTAACATCAGCATCAGCATCAGCATCACCACCACCACCATCATTATCACCATCACCATCACAGTCACCATTATCATCAACACCACCCCCATCACAATAACCATCGTCACCATCACAATCACAATCGTCATCACCATCACCCTCATCACAATCACTATCACCATCATCATCTCTACCACCATCACCATCACCATCATAAACATTATCAGCATCACCACCAAGACCATCACCACAATCATCATCAGCATCAGTAGCATCAGCACCACCAGCATCAAAATCATCACCATCCCCATCACCATCACCATCATCACCACCACCATCACACTGAGCATAATCGTCATGACCATCATAATCATCATCATCACCATCGTCACCATCAACATCATCATCATCACCTTGACCATCACCATTATCATACTGACCGCCAACATCACCGTCACCATTACCACCATCATCATCACCATCACCATCATAACATCCATCGCCATCACCATCATCAACATCACCAGTATCACCAGCATCATCATCATCATCATCGCCACCAGAAGCACAACCACCACCATCATCGTCATCATCATCAGCATCATCATCGACATAATCATCTCCATCATCACCATCAACACCATCATCATCACCATCACCACCACCGCCACCATCACCATCATCATCAACATCACCATTACCATCAGCATCATTATTATCATTACCAACAGCATCACCACCACCCTCGCCATCACCAGTACCACTACCGCCATCATCAGCATCGCCGCCACCATCATCCCCATGAGCATCATCATCACCATTACCATGACCATCACCATCATCACCACCCCCACCAACATCAACCTCATCAGCAGCAGCATCAACAACATCATCGTGACCATCGGTATCAGAATTGGCATCAGAATTAGCAGACTCATTATCATCATTACCATCAGCATCATCATTATGACCATTATCATAATCATCAATATCATCGTCATGTTCGTCACCATCGCAATCATCATTACCACTATCATTATACCACCACAACAATGGCCATCACAATCATAGTCAGCATCACCATCACCATTATCATTACTACCACCATCACCATCACCATCACCACCATCATCGGCAAAACAACAAGCATCATCACAATCAGAACGAGCATCTCCATCACCAGCACCATCACTATTACCATCACAATCATCATCATCACCATCAACATCACCATCATCACCGTGACAGTCACCATCACAATCACCATCACCATCACAATCACAATCATCATCATCACTGTCATCAACATCATCATCATCATCATCATCACCACCGTCATTATCACCACCACCACCACGAGCCTCATCATCATCACCACCATCATAATCATCAGCACCAGCATCAACATCATCATCATCATCATCCCCACTGCCATCATCACCATCACGAACACCATCGCCATGATCACCACCACCACCGCCATCATCATCATCATCATCGCCAACACCATCATCACCATCACCATGACCATTGCCATCATCATCTTCACCATCACCACCATTATGGTTATCAGAACGATCAAAACCACAAGACCCATCACCACCACCACCATCATCATCATCACCAGTATCAGCATCAGCATCAACATCAGCATCATCACCGTCATCATCATGATCGCAATCATCACCACCATCACCATCATCATCGTCATCACCATCACCACTACCATCATCATCATCGTCATCATCATCACCGTCACCATCACACTCCCAATCACCATCAAAATCATCATCACCATCATCATCACCACCATTATTATCAGCGTCACCATCATCATCATCATCACCACCATGACTATCACAATCACTATCACCATCATGACCACCACCCCCATCACCATCACCATCATCATCACCAAAACCACCACCACCATCACCAGCATCAGCATTAGCGTGAACATCATCATCATCATCATCATCATCATCATCATCAAAATCATCATCATCAACATCACCATCACCTTCACTATCGGTCTCACCATCACCATCCCCATGATCATCACCATCAAGATGACCATCAACATCATCGTCACCATCATCATGATCACCACCACCACATCATTACAACCGCCATCACCATCACCACCACAATCAGCATCATCAGTAGCATCAGCATCGGCATCATCATCATCACCACCACCAGGGCCATCATCACCATAACCACCACCATCACCATCAACACCATCACCATAATCATCATCACCACCATTCCCATAACCACCACCATCAAAATCACCCTCATCATCACCACCATCAGCACCATTACCATAATCATCATCACCACCAAAACTACGAAACCCACCACCACCACCACCGTCATCATCATCAGCATCAGCATCAACGTCATCATCATCAACGCCATCACCGTCATCATCATCGTCGTCATCATCATCATCATCATCATAATCACCACCATCACCACCACCGTCACCATCACTATCATCACCATCACCGTCATCTTCGTCACCATCATCATCACCATCATCATTATCACCACCATCATCACCCTCAACATCACCATCAACTCACCACCATGACCATCATAACCATCATCACCACCATCATCGTTATCGCCATCATCATCATCACCATCCTCATCATCCTCATCATCGTCCACCCCCCCGCTCCGAGGGCGTCGCACCTTGCGCGGGCCCCTGGCCGGAGCTGGCCCGTCCGGCACCCGGAGCATGACGCCCTGGCCCGTGCCGTTCACCACGAGGCGCATGGTCATCTCGCGCGGCGGCGGCGAGACGTGGGGAACCGCACTGCGCAGGGACTGGGGGGAGCAGGAGGAGGAGGAGGAGGAGGAGGAGGAGGAGGAGGAGGAGGAGGAGGAGGAGGAGGAGGAGGAAGGAGGGAATGAGGAAAAGGGGGAGGAGGAGGAGGGAGGAAGGGAAAGAGGAAGGGAAGGAGGAGGAGGAGGACGAAAGGAAAGGATGGAGGAAGGGAAGGGGGAGGAGGAGGAGCAGGAGGACGAGGAGGAAAAGGAGGAAGGGAAGGAGGAGGAAGGAAGGAAAAGAGGAGGCAGGGAAGGAGGAGGAAGGGAAGGAGGAGGAGGAGGAGGAGGAGGAGGAGGAGGAAGGGAAGGAAAAGGAGAAGGAGAAGGAGAAAAAGGAGGAAGGGAAGGAGGAGGAGGAGGAGGACGAGGAAGAGGAAGGGAAGGAGGACTTGAAGGAGGAATATGTTCTCGTGAACCTCGACGTCGGCCATCGGGAGCCATCGTCGGGCGCAGAGACATCAAGAATGGACATCAGGGGCGACAGGCACTTGGACCGTCTTGGAGCCTTTTTGGAGCCCTTTTCAGCACGTTTCGGGACAGCCTTGGGCCGTCTGTGAGCGCTCCCGGAGGCCGTGACACGCCATGCCCCCCGTGGTCCCTTGGCTCGTCCAGGCGGCCTCGTCCCCCGGGATGTGTGTATATATATGTATATATACACACATACATACATACATACATACATACATACATACATACATACATACATACATACATCATCCGGGATGACGATTAATAAAAACATGGGGGGGGGGAACGATTATACAAATAGTTTTCTGTAATTTCTGCATAATATATATGACTGGAAGAGAACGCTTGAAAGAAATAGTTTTCCAGCCCGACGCCGGTTTTGTCTAATCGTCATCCCAGACCGCCGCGTGAACACGACCCCCGGTCATTTATTAATCGTCATCCTCCATTACTAGAACCATCGCGCGCGCTTCACGCGCGCTCAGGTTCTAGCCCAGGCCGGGGGGGCGCTGGACGATCTTGGACAACGCTATCAAGCGCAGGCGCGCGACGGCATCTGAGGAGCTTCTGGGGTGTTCCGCATGTTTCGTCAACTGGCTGTTGGAGGCACCTCTTGGGTGCTTCTTGGGGGGGCGTCTGAGGGTCCCTTGGGGGCATCGGTTCCGCAATCTGAAGCCGTCATTGGCCGTCTTGGCTGCGTGGAGGCCCGAGTTGAGGCCACCTGCGGCCAGATTGAGGCAATCCGGAAGCCTCCCGGGGGCCTCCTGGAAGCAGTTTTGACGCATCGAGGGCACTCTTGGATATTTTAAAGCCTCTTGGACGTCTCCTAGGGGTCTTTTATGCCCTCGGGGAGCTTTTGGGGTCCTCGTCGGACCACTTGGGGGCCTCTTGCGGCCTCGTGTGGGCCTTTTGGGGGGAATGCTCTGCTGTTGGGTCGCGTTCCCCTTCTTGGGCCTCTTTTGGGGCTCTTGGGGTCCTCTCGGGCCGTCTTGGGCGCCTCAAGCGCCGTCCTGGGGCCCTCTTGGGGCCCTCGTCGGCCATCTTGAAACCATCTCGGGCCCTCTTAGGGCGCTCTTGGGGGTCTTCGGGGCCTCTTGAGGCTTTCTTGACCATCTGTACTGCCCGCGTGGCCTGTCGAGGGCAATTTGAAAGCGGCCCGGGGCAGTCCCGGGGGGTCTGTGACCCCCCAAAGGTTCCAGGGGGCGCCCAGGCCCCTCCCCCCGCCTACTCGCGGCGGCCTCTGAGGCCCGGGACGCCGAAACCCTTTGAAAACACAGGGAAAATGAGCTCCAGTACCCCCATGGAGGGTCGAGGCAGCTGTTTTCGGGCCCTGGGCCTGCTCCCCCTGGGTATATATATATATATGTATATATATACACACATACATACATACATACATACATACATACATACATACATACATACATACATACATATATATATATGTATATATATATATATATATAAATATGTGTGTGTACTAGAACCGCGCGCTTAGGTTCTAGTAAGCGCAGGCGCTTGACAATACCACGGCTGCGCGCATTGACAAAGTCACGGCTGCGCGAATGCACGCATCGACGAATGGCTTCAGCATGGTCTGAACAATCAACACGAGCCTGGCCCCAGCAGAGAAGGGTCTGTTGGGCGCCGCCGGGGGTTAGTCCAGGGTCTCGCTGGGCGTTTGCGGCCCATCTCACTGTGGAACTCACGCTGTACAATATGATTACTCGATCAAGCGAGGCCATATGTATGGGGGAGCGGGCAAGGAGGGACTGAGGGGAGGGGGGCGAGAGAGAGGAGGGAAAATAAAGAATGGAACCGATGCCCCAGCGTCCGCTTGTGCCAGGAACGAATGCGTCGGATGGCATAACCCACTGGGAGACTTTTCGGAGGAAAGGGGAGAGGAGAAGGAGGGCGGTTCCAGGAGAGGCCCTGGAAGGGCGCCAAGAAGGCCTTGAACGACTACAGCAGGGCGCGGCCTCAAGTCACGCGAAAACTTCCAAGCGTGTCTTGTTTGTGGACCCCCTTGGGGCCTTCCTCCGGGTACCTGGCCTCTGGGGGGCCGTTTTGGGGCATCTTGGGGCCTCTTCTTTGGGGTCTCTGATGGGGGCATTTTTAAGCCTCTTGGGGCCTCTTGGTGGCCTCTTTGGGGCCTATTGGGGCGGAAATCTCCATTGTCGGTTCGTGTTCCCCCTCTTTGGCACCTCTTGGGGCCGTCTTGAAGCCCTCTTGGGCCGTCTTGGGCGCCTCTTTGACCGTTTGGGCGCCGTCTTGGGTTGTCTTGGAAGCCTCTCGGGGGCCTTTTGGGCCGTCTTGGGGCGATGTTCGAGGCTTCCTCGGCAATCTTGGAGGGTCAGAAGCCCGAAAACGCGGGCAAGCAAAAAACATTGAAAAACACAATGAAAATATATGAGCACATTGGAGCGCTCTTGGGCCGTCTTGGCGGCCTCTTGCCGTCCCCGGAAGCCGTGCTGAAATCCTCTGGGGGCGCAAAAGAGCCTCCGGACGCCCGGGGGCAAAGTGGGTTACGGGGGGGGGAATTCGGGAGGGTGCCCCGGCCCAGGGCCCTGGCCCCCGGTACCCCGGTATATGATATATTGGGGATCTGTGGTTTTAAAACATTTCGCTGACTCCGAAAAGGAGGAGGTGGAAGGGGAGGAGGAGGAAACAGAGCGTGGAGATATCGATCGACGGCCGCAGTAGAAACGAATATGTATGATCATGGGGGCTTGGGCGTCCATATCTCTCTCTCTATATATATACACGAGATGTTAAGTCTCGCTGCGCTTCGCCTTCTAATCTTGACCCTTGCACCTACGATGTTTCTGGGCGCGGGCGAGAACACAATTGTTCAATGAGGTGTGTGGGAAATGTGCGAGCGGAGGCGAGGCGAGGCGAGTGCGCGGTAGCGCCCGGGCTCATCGGAGAGATGATGTGTCGACGGGGCTGTGCCGTCGCCGACGCTTGCAACCCAGGTAGCGTAGTCGACGTCGCGGTGTTGTCGGTGGTTCACCTGCAAAGCGTAAGTAGTGAAAAGCTCCAATGTAGCAGATGTCCGAACACTGTCGTTGACGATAGAGTCCCGCGTGCCTCCTTTCACCACAAGAGGAATCTGGCGGAAATCCCCATAGCAGACGAAAACCTTGTTCTTCCAGATGGTAGCGTGGTGCTCTTGAATCTGGTCCAATAGTTTGAGGACGCTCTCCCACGCAGGTCGTTTGGCATTTGGCCATTCATCCCATTGGAGCACAGACGCCGCGGCGAGGGCACGGCCACCTTGGGAGCTCATCGGCAGAGAGCATGTGAGGACGTCCTCGTCAGACACCGGAATCTTGCAGACAGAGTGCGCCGTGGCGCCGAAGGGCAATTGCAGGGCCGCGACTCCTGTCGTGGCCATGTTGACGACTCCCTGTCCACTCCCCAAAGCAGCGTAAGTGATGTAACTGGCGACGGTGGATTTGCCTCTGCCAGCGGGGCCGTGGGCGAAATAATATTTCTCGGCCCCGGCGCGGATGGGCGCGATTATCGCTTTGACGGCGTCGGTCTGACTCGGATCCTCTGCAAGGGTCTTGCAGATGGTCTTCGCGCGGGATTGCGCTTCTTGCGGGGGAAATGGCGCCGCAGAGGTGTCTGATGCTGGGGATGGTTGAGACCGTGCAGGTTTGTCTTCTTCCAGCGTGAACGGTTTGCCGATGGACTGGCACGAGAGGCGCAAAGCGTCGCATGCAGCTTTACGGGCAGAATCGAGAGTGAGCCCGCGATCGCGGAAATCACCGAGGAGATGCTTCTCGAACTTGTTGCGCAGCGTCACGGCGCACGCGCCCTGCTCGAGCAACGCGACGAAGGCGAACAATAGTTGAGCGGCAGTGTATCGAAGCTCGACTAATTCCTGGAGCACCCGCGCGGGTTCGTCAGCTGTCGCAAAATACCCGGTCGCCATAAGGGCTTGCTCATAAGTGGGGTACCTCCGACCGGCGTGGGTTTTGCAGTCGGCGAAGCTTGGTTTTGGGTAGTTCAACAATATGTGTCTGAGGTAGAACACCTCTCTGTTTGGGGTACTTCATTTCGAGCCTGCATATAGGACGTTCGCCCCGTTGCTTCTCGTAGACGAAGCGGGTCCGACCTGGGGGGGCAGCGTCGAGCACGGGCGCCAGGGCTCCGCCCAGAGGGGGGGTCGCCGAAGGCGCCGCAGCCCGCGGGAAGAGGTCGGGAAAGTGGCGCCGCAAGGCTTGCGGGCAAGATTTGGCCACCATGAAGCGCTCGAAACATTCGTGGTACTTCGTGGAAAGGTACGGCTCGAATTTGGGCCGGTGGATGTAGCGCTGCAAAAACGAAATAGACGATTGTACGGCGTCCTCTTCTTGTCCGGCGGCATAGGTGATCCAGTCTTCGTCTTCGCAATGCACTGGTGGACAAACCGCATGAGGGATGCGTTCATGCGTAGTGTAGCCAAACATGTGCCGCGCGCATTCCGCGGCAAAGAT